AATTCAAAAAATCGCCAGTACGAAAAATTACACTAGTTTACAAAATAATATTCTTGGTGTCCTCCCCAGCAATTGATGGCAAATTCTGTTGGTGTTGGACCCCTAGATCACAAAAATAGCACTTTTTTTTTTCGATGGCACAGTTTTTTTTTAAAGATTTTTTAAAGTTTAAAATGTTAAATTTCTGACTTTTTTCGAATTTCTTCTTATATCTTGGCAGATATCCACTCGATTGGGCCAGTTTTAGTTTTATTTTAAAGTCAATAGATCAGAGTTTAACTTTTCCATACAGAGCAATATGATTGGATAAGTAATGGCAGCGCAGAAGCTCGACAAAAATGAAAAATGTGTATTTTGGTCGACTGTAAGTCGGCTGTAAAAAACTCGAAATAAATCCGTTGAAAAATCATAATGGGTACAAACTTAAAGTTTACATCCTACCGAATAAAACAAGGCAGTCGATGACCTAAAGCTGGCCTTGACGAGCGCGCCGGTCCTGGTTCATGCGGACTTCAAGAAACATTTCTTCATCCAGTGCGACGCATCTCACGTTGGCGTCGGTGCAGTTTTGTTTCAGCGGAACCAGGACGGAGACGAGCAACCCATCGCGTTCTTCTCGGCCAAGATGAACAAGCACCAGGTGAACTACTCAGTCACGGAGAAAGAGTGTCTGGCAGCCATCCTAGTCATTAGGAAGTTCAGACCGTACGTGGAGGGGATGCCGTTCACATGCATCACCGATCACGCCAGCCTGAAGTGGTTGATGACGATGAAGGATCTGTCAGGACGACTCGCGAGATGGTCTCTCCAGCTGCAGGGTTACGATTTCGGCATTGAGCATCGTAAAGGCAGCGAGAACGTAGTCGCCGATACTCTCTCCCGCTGCATCGAGGAAGTCCTGATTGATCCGACGGAGTTATTGGGATTCGAGACGACCGAGTTTGCTGCAGAGGATTATTTGGAGTTAGTCCAAGATGTAGAGTACAACAGGGAGAACTTACCGGACCTCAAAGTTGACGGCGGACTGATCTTCAAGCGCTTGGGTAATCCGAATCTGGACGATGAACTGGAAGGATCCGAGTGGAAGCTGTGGATTCCGCAGAGCCTAACGCACAGCTTGATAGAGCGTGCCCATTCGGACCCCAAGGCTGGGCACGGTGGAATGGCGAAGACGTTGGAGACCATACGACGCCAGTTCTATTGGCCAGGGATGACTATCCAGGTGCGTGAATACGTCCGGGCTTGCGAGGTGTGCAAGGAGTCCAAAGCGCCTAACTTCAGGATGCAGGTGGGAATTGGGAAAAGGGTAGAGACGGAAAGGCCATTCCAGAAACTTTACATCGATTTCCTGGGCAAGTATCCGAGGTCTAAGAGTGGTCACGCGTGGATTTTCATCGTGGTGGACCATTTCTCCAAGTACACCTTCCTAAAGGCCATGAAGGATGCGACGGCGTCAAACGTGGTGACTTTCCTGGTGAATGAGGTGTTCTACAAGTTCGGTGTGCCTGAAATTATACATTCGGATAATGGAAAGCAGTTCACATCTAAGGCGTTCGAGGAGTTGATAGATGGCTTCGGTATCCAGCACATCAGGACTCCGATATACTCACCTCAGAGCAATGCAGCGGAACGGGTTAACCGTAGTGTCTTGGCAGCGATTCGCAGCTTCTTGGACGAAGACCACCGGGAATGGGATGCACATCTGCCGGAGATTGAAGTGGCCATCCGGAACGCTGTCCACTCAGCTACAGGAGAAGCGCCGTTCTTCACCGTATTCGGCCATCATATGTTCCTCAACGGTTCCAGCTACAAGTTAGCCAGACAACTCCGGTCCCTGTGCGACCACGAGATGGCGGGAATGCAGACCAAGGACAAGCTTCGGATAATCCATGCCAAGGTTCAGAAGCAGCTGGAGGGTGCGTACGAGATGAGCCGGCAACGCTATGATAAGCGAGCCCGTACGCTACTCGCTAAACCAGGTCAAGAAGTCTTCCGCCGCAATTTCGTGCTGAGTGACTTCAGCAAATCCTTCAATGCGAAGTTTGCTCGCAAGTTCATGAAGGCCAGGGTGATAAAATCCGTCGGCGGCAATGCATACTTGTTGGAGGAACTCCAAGGCCGCAGTCTGGGAGTGTATCACGCGAAGGACATCCGGCTGTGATCTGTAAGAAGGACACACAAAGTATGCGAGCATAGCGGCAACATCATCAATACTTCCCGTAATGCGTGGGCCCCGCGTTAGGCGCCGTTCGAACTGCAGGACGATATCAGTGCCGTGTTGATTCCTACCGTATCTCCAAAGCTACCAATTATTTCGTCGTTCTGCGGAGACTCCGGGTAGCGCCTCTCGAAATCTTTGGTTGGTGTTGCAGTTGCAGTCGATTGTCAGATAGATTTTATCGATAGGTCAGGACGATAAGGCGATGGTTTTGGTGGCGCCCCCCTGTGGGGAATCTGGAGGACGATCTGGCCATTTGGAGTAATCCCGGTTCGCTCAGGGATTACTCTCCCGTGGCCTTGAATCTGTCCGATGACCCAGTTTTGGGAGAGGCAAGGGAATATGGCAATACCGCCATGATGATAGGCAGATTAAGAGAGTCGCAGCCATATTGTCAGGAAAGCTGGACGCAGCGATAAGTTCCTTCATTAAGTGTGTGCCAAAACCAGAAAAAAGTGAGATTTTAGAATGTTAAGTGTCATAGTTATTTTATTAACAATTAATTGTCTGTAGGGCAACCGGGGTCCCAACAAAAAGGGCCCCGGAAGATTTATTTTGGGAATTTGCTCTGGAGATTCTTATACAAGGTTCGACCTATACTCACCTTAACCTCATCCGGGAACCTGATGTGGTGATGATCCCGAAGTCCACTTAACCCAGCTTGAGGGACTTGGACCTGTGGATTTGGACCGGCTTAACTTGATTTGTTCCGACAATAATACCCTGTACCCTATAATGCAGGGATATAACAAAATAAATAAATTTATCAATTTTCGGTATAATTATATTGCTTTGTTTGTCTGTTTGTATGAAGGATTCAATAAATGTAGATCTAGACGATTTTGTTGAATAACAGTCCACGTAATTCATTAGACTACGAAAACAAACTAAAGTAAAAATTTAGGTTTCGACTTGGGATCTAAGCTTGTTATAAAACCCTAGCAAGTGTTTTTTTGGCCACGATACGTACATTATGATTTTTAAAAATATCTAAATAGCTTCTTATCCACATATTCTGCATATAGTTTGGGGGCGATAAATAAAAAAAATATTTGTTTGATTTATGGTGCGACTCCCTTAAATATTGGAACTTATATTGCCATAGCGATTTTATTTTTCTTTAGCCGTTTGTAAAGGTGACAAGGTTACCTTTATGTTTAGACTCAATAAGTAATGACAAGTCTACGCCATCTATATAAAATTATAATATTTGATCAAGGGCAACAGTTCGTATGAGTGATAAACTTAAAGGTCAATGCGCAAGCACTAAATCGCATTTTTTTAAACTTTTTCTTTTTGGTATGTCTTAAATGCACCAATGCGCAAAGTATAAGGGGGTGAGAGTAGGACCTTAGAATTTTTCATACAAAAAAAAAGCACCCTAATGTACATTGTACATGTATTAGTATTCTTCTTTTTAACATACCTATCTATTTGTGGCTGCTTATATTTTCTCTAGAGTTTACTGCAGTCTGTTTACATATGTATAGACTGGATGAAAAATTAGTTGATGGCTAAATACTCATTCGTAGTAAGCATCGGGTTAGTATGTAGTGCTAAGATATATACGGCCTGCATTTTAAAGGCTAATGCAAATTTTTCCATTATAGGTTTGCATTTGTATTAAACTAATCCTTAAATCATTTTAGAGTTTACTGCAGTCTGTTCTAGCAGGCTGAATACAAATTTTTGACAAATTCGTATTTGTAGTAAACCTTTTAAGAAAACAATTACGTTGTAAAATTGCTGACTATAAGTTTTCAGTCTGCATTTTGCAGGCTGAATGCAAACTGAAGTTATTTTTGCATTCGTAGTTAACTTACTTGCATTTATGTATTGCGACTTTAGTAGTTTGTTTTAAAAAAAAGCAAATACCTTCGTCTGAAAAAATCATTTTGTTTCTTAAATTGCTGATTATAAGTTTACTGCGGTCTGTATTTTGCAGGCTGAATGCAAATTTAATTTTACTTTTGCATTCGTAGTGAACTTCTATGTATTGCTATTTTCAATAGTTTCTAACAAAACATAAGGGGGATTCCCTAAACTGTTGAATTGCTGAATTGTTGAAAATTCAACAAAAAATTTCAGCAATTAAGGGAACGACCCAAAATGGTTCCTGTTGAATTTTCAAACAGCTGTTATTTGTTGAAAAGTTTCACGGAACTTAAAGCATGTAAAATTTGATTTGTTATTGCTAGTTACTGTCTAAAAGCGTTACCAAGGTAAAAAGAACCACAAATATGCTTTCTAAGTTGATTTTAAAATAAATAATGCGTACTGGTGATACTAAAATGTTACAGAGTTGCCACGACTTTTAAAAAAAGGTGACAACTCTGGCTTTTCAGCAATTCAACAAAATTTTCAACAGCCCCGAGGCTGTTGAATTGCTGAAATTTCTGAAAGTTGACTTTGTATGGAACAGCTGATTAACAGCTGACCAAAATTCAACAATTCAGCAATTCAACAGTTTAGGGAATCCCCCTATAATTGCTCACTATAAGTTTTCTACAGTCTGTATTTTGCAGGCTGAATGTAAACTGAAGTTATTTTTGCATTCGTAGTCAACTTACTTGCATTTATGTATTGCGATTTTAGTAGTTTGTTTTAAAAAAAAGCAAATAACTTCGTCTGAAAAAATCAGTTTGTTTCTTAAATTTGCTGATTATATGTTTAGGTTAGGTTAGGTGAGCATGGTTGGGGATTATAAACTAATCCCCTCACTTAGGCCGCCATGGGCCCCTTGTGATACCATATGATCTCAGAAAAGATCCATTTCCCTAGCTCATGGGTTATTGGGTTTCTCGAACCAGTTGGTTCTTTTCAGAAAACAAAGCAGTTTGGGTATGCTGGTGACTTGTATGGCTGCAAGGTTTGGAAGCGTGTATCTTCCTAGTGTTTGAAAACGTTTGAGGTTGTGTGCTGGGCAGAAGCACAGGAGGTGTTCAATGTTCTCCTCTTCTTCTATCTGTTTACAGCTGCGACAGTAGTTGTAGCTGCTGAGTCCTAGCCTGCGCGCGTGTGTCCCTAAAAGACAGTGGCCCGTGAGGGCATTAATTAAGGTGGAAATGTCTGCCCTGTTACATTGTAAGAGGGTTTTGGTTCTTTTCGGATTATAGTTACCCCAGGTAAGCCTGGAGGTGTGGCATGTTGGGATCGTATTCCAACGGTTGTTGGAGAGGGTGTACAATCTTTGCTTGAGGAGAAGCTTGCAGGTAGCTATGGGCATGCCCACCGTGTCCTTATCGCGAAGGATGTCGGTGGTTGTTCCTTGTCTTGCTAGTTCGTCCGCTATGCAGTTGCCTTCAATGTTACGGTGTCCAGGCACCCAAATGAGGCTGATTCTGAGATGAGTGGCCATCTCGTTCAGAGATTTGCGGCATTCAGAGATAGTAAGTGAGTTGGTTGAGTAGGAGTCGAGGGCCCTGAGGGCTGCTTGACTGTCCGAAAATATGAAGATGTCTGTGTTGCAGTGTTTTGTTGTATCCAGGTAAGACATGGCTTCCTGGATTGCCATCACTTCCGCTTGGAAGACACTACAGTGATCTGGTAGTCGAAAGGAGACTTTTATGTCCAGTTCAGGCGAGAAAACTCCCCCTCCTGTTTGCAAGTTAAGCTTGGAGCCATCCGTGTATATGTTGACGGCGTTCTCAATCTGGTGAGGGAGGTGGTCCCATTCTGAGCGGGTGGGTATGTGTGGTATATAACGCTGGTTTGTAAGTATACGGGAGTGACCTGATGAACCTGTTGACCAAGCCGACGCTTCGCGGAGCCTCAGCGCCGTCGCTGATGCCCAGCTTTTGGCAAGCAGGTCTAGAGGTTCTAGGTCAAGAATTGTATTCAATGCTTCAGTGGCGGTTGTGCGAAGCGCCCCACTTATGCAGAGTTCTGCGCTTCTTTGGATCTTGTTCAGATTCTTGAGGTTGCAATACTTTTCTAGGGAGTGCCACCAGACGATGATTCCATAGAGGAGTATGGGTCTGACTATTGCAGTGTATAGCCAGTGAACTATAACGGGAGAGAAGCCCCACTTTCTCCCTATAGCTTTTTTACAAGCAAAGAGTGCTATGGCCGCTTTGCGTGTGCGGTCCGCGATGTTCTCTGCCCAGAGGAGTTTCTTGTCTAGGATGACGCCTAAATACTTTGCTTGGTTGCTAAGAGTAAGGCGAGTTTGGAGTAGTTTTGGGAGAGTTAGACTTGGTATCTTATACTTCCTTGTAAATAGAACTAATTCTGTCTTTTCTGGGTTGACACCCAGTCCGCAGTACGCTGTCCACCTTGAGAGTGAGGATAGGGCTGTCTCCATCAGGTTGCATAGCGTTTGAGGAAATTTTCCTTGCATTAGGATAACCACTTCGTCCGCATAGGCCACCACTTTTGTTCCCGCTTCCTCTAGAAGTAATAGAAGTTTATTAACAACTATAACCCATAGCAGAGGGGAAAGTACACCGCCTTGCGGTGTTCCTCTACTAACGTTCCTAGTCGATTGTGCTGATCCCATAGTGGAGTACACTACCCTACTGGTGAGTATGGTGTGAATGAGTCCCACTATAGGACGCTCAATGCCTAGTTCCGTCATAGCGCCAGTGATAGCCGTTGGGGTGACATTGTTGAAAGCGCCTTCTATGTCTAGAAAGGCTGCCAGGGAGTATTCCTTGTTATGGAACCCTCTCTCTATATACGATACTAGGGAGTGAAGGGCAGTATCTGTTGATCTGCCTTTACGGTACGCATGTTGTGCATTTGAGAGTAAACTAGGGTTGATAGTTAGTCTGATGTGTGTGTCAATTAGCCTTTCCAGGGTCTTTAACAAGAAGGAGGAGAGGCTTATTGGACGGAAGTCCTTTGGAGAGGTGTGAGAGGGCTTGCCGGCCCTGTTTACTGCGGTCTGTATTTTGCAGGCTGAATGCAAACTAAAGTTTTTTTTGCATTCGTTGTCAACTTAATTGCATTTATGTATTGCGATTTTCGGTAGATTGTTTTAAAAAAAGCAAATATTTTCTTCTGAAAAAATCAGTTTGTTTTAAAAATTTCTTATTATAAGTTTACTACGGTCTGTATTTTACAGGCTGAATGCAAATTTAATTTTACTTTTGCATTCGTAGTGAACTTCTATGCAGGGAACGAAAATAACTGTTATTGTAAATTTTTCATACAAAAAAATCACGCACTTAGAAGGGTCCTAAAAATTTTTTAAATACACCACAATTTTTATTAGCCATTGTAGTTTACAAATCCGTAATGATTTTTATTTTTTGATTTTTATAATAAAACTCAAAAAATAACTGTTATTTTTTGATTTTTATGAATAACAGTTATTCCCTTGACATTTTTGAAAAAATGAAATAATTAAAAAAAACATGATACCCGTGCTTTTTATAACTTACTAAAAATTTGTTAAAAAAGGCAACCGCGCATATTTTATACCTATATTTTTTTTAAATTTTGTTTACCCACAAAATCGCCATAAATCAAGTTTGAGTTTTATTTTTGATCACGACGAATAACTGTTATTTGTCAACTTTTATTATAAAACTCAAAAAATAACAGTTATTCTTTGAGTTTTACTTTACAAATCAGAAAATAACTGTTAAAGTGTGATTTTTAAAATAAAACTTATAACAGTTACGTTCCCTGCTTCTATGTATTGCAATTTACGTTAGTTTTTAACAAAACATTTTATAGGCGAAAATTTTTGAAGTTTAACTTTTAATTAAGTTATCAATATGGCTATTGAAAACCTAAAGATAGATGGTGTATTAGTCCCTCACTCCATAATTTCAATAACAGGCGATGGGGCTTGCCTATTTAATGCACTTTCCTACATTTTAAATGGAAATGAAAGTTTGTCTGCTAAAATACGACAGGCCATAGTTAGGAGTGTTGTGGGCCGGTGGAATCATTTCGCAAATTATACGGTTAATTCTAAAGGAAACATTTATGACAATCCTTTAGATTATGAACGTGAAATGATGCGCCCTCACACTTATGGTGCTACTTCCGAGTTAATGGCTGCAGGGGAATTGTACCCAATTTTTATTGAAATCTACTACAATGGAAATTTTCTTACCCACTTTGGAACAGAAGGGAGTCCTATAAAAAGACTGCGGTTTAGTGGCGATCTGTCCAATGGACATTTTGATGTGTTAGTTCCACTAGAAGACACGAATTCTCCTTCTCCAAGCGAATTTTATCTTCCACCCACCCCAAAAAAAACCAAAAGGAGGCGAGTCCGATCTTCTGACCGAATTAGGGGGAAAAAATTAAAGACTGCACTACAAATGTATTGTGAAAATGTTGAAAATAATAGACTAACAAATCAGGCAGAAAACGTTGAAACTGCACGACACAATAATGCTGCGATAGAATTTGATACGGTTAATATGCATATTGAAAACCTAAGGATAGACGGTGTATTAGTCCCTCACTCCATAGTTTCAATAACAGGCGATGGAGCGTGCCTACTTAATGCACTTTCCTACATTTTAAATGGAAATGAAGGTTTGTCTGCTAAAATACGCCAGGCCATAGTTAGGAGTGTTGTGGGACGGTGGAATCATTTCGCTAATTATACGGTTAATTCTGAAGGAAACATTTATGACAATCCTTTAGATTATGAACGTGAAATGATGCTCCCTCACACTTATGGTGGTACTTCTGAGTTAATGGCTGCAGGGGAATTGTACCCAATTTTTATTGAAATCTACTACAATGGAAATTTTCTTACCCACTTTGGAACAGAAGGGAGTCCTATTAAAAGACTGCGTTTTAGTGGCGATCCTTCCAATGGACATTTTGATGTGTTAGTTCCACTAGAAGACAGGCAAAACACGAATTCTCCTTCTCCAAGCGAATTTTATCTTCCACCCACCCCCAAAAAAACAAAAAAAAGGCGAGTCCGATTTTCTGACCGAACAGCTAAAAAAATATCAAAGACTGCATCACAAAAGTATCGTGAAAAGGATAAAAATAAAAGACTCGCAAATGAATAAGAAAACGTAAAAGCTGTAGGTGCAAATGCAAATGAATCAGAAAATGTAGAAGCTGCCGCGTCTTGGGAAATAAAAGAAAATTCAGCATTTCATTATAATGCTGCGATAGACTATGACACTGATAAGTATGTTCAATTAGGGGCGATGGACAAGAAGTGCGGATTTCGTGGAGCTTTAAAATGGAAAAATGAGCCTAAAGGAGACTTCGAGGTCGAGAGAGAGAACTCTGACAAGAGAGTTTGGAGAGTCATGGCGGAGAGTGAGAGAGTGGAGACTTCGCGGGCAGAGCCAAAGTTCCGTGTGTGCAAAAGGAAATAACGGAACTGCACCGGACTTTGGACTCTGCCGTGAACTTTGGACCAGGAGGACAAGTGCCACATCTCAGCAACCGAGCGGCACACAGGCGTGCCACATGCAACATAAGAATCCGCGGGACGGCAGCAACGAGCAGAACTACAATTTAAGGCCGTGCGTGAAGGACAAGTGGGTCAAACAGGGACCACGGACTTTGGACCCGGAGTGGAGAGATGCCGCGGGCAGAGCGCACGAGGGACATAACGGTACCCGGAGGCCCTATATAAAGCCGCCGGGCGCTGGCAACTGGATCAGTCGATCACAAGGAATCAATCCGTCAAGATCAGTCAAGATAGCAAAGTGAATAAGTCAGTCAATCAGTGCCAAGTAATCTACAAGTGAAAACACAAGTCAAGTCGTCGGAATTTACTACAATGGAAATTTTCTTACCCACTTTGGAACAGAAGGGAGTCCTATTAAAAGACTGCGTTTTAGTGGCGATCCTTCCAATGGACATTTTGATGTGTTAGTTCCACTAGAAGACAGGCAAAACACGAATTCTCCTTCTCCAAGCGAATTTTATCTTCCACCCACCCCCAAAAAAACAAAAAAGGCGAGTCCGATTTTCTGACCGAACAGCTAAAAAAAATATCAAAGACTGCATCACAAAAGTATCGTGAAAAGGATAAAAATAAAAGACTCGCAAATGAATAAGAAAACGTAAAAGCTGTAGGTGCAAATGCAAATGAATCAGAAAATGTAGAAGCTGCCGCGTCTTGGGAAATAAAAGAAAATTCAGCATTTCATTATAATGCTGCGATAGACTATGACACTGATAAGTATGTTCAATTAGGGGCGATGGACAAGAAGTGCGGATTTTGTGGAGCTTTAAAATGGAAAAATGAGCCTAAAGGTATATGTTGTAAAGACGGAAAAGTTAAACTTCCTTCTTACAAAAATTTACCAGAGCCCCTATATAGCTTGATAATGGGTAGTCATCCTGACCATAATCACTTCATGGCGTTTATAAGAAAGTACAACAATTGCTTTCAAATGACGTCATTTGGTAGTACGAAAATTGTCAAAAATAGGTTCATGCCTACATTTAAAGTTCAAGGTCAAGTGTATCACTTGGTTGGTAGCCTCTTGCCGGCTCCTCAAAAGGAAGCTGAGTTTTTGCAAATTTATTTTGTTGGCGAGGATGAAACAGAAGTTAATTTAAGGAGAAAACATTATTCTGACGTTAAACATGACTTGGTATAGGCTCTCCAAATAATGCTGCACAATTGTAATCCATATATTAAAGGGTTCAAAACTGCACTACAAAAAGTTCCAAAAAATTGTCAGGATTTTAAAATGGTTATTCACGCTGAAAAAAAACCAGCTGATGCTTATAAAGGCCGCTATAATGCTCCTGCAGCCAAAGAAGTTGCTTTGGTATTAATTGGCGAACAATTTCAAAAGAGAGACATTGTTATTGAAAGTTATGAAAACAAACTTCAGCGCATAAGTGAAATCCATCGCTCATATGATAGTTTACAATATCCTTTACTATTTTGTCATGGAGAGGATGGATATTCTATTAACATACTGTGAGGAGTTGAATAACTCATCACAAATAGCAGCAGCTAAAATAACGGATGGCCGGCCGCTTACCAGTTACGGCGAGTTACCGTAGTAGCGGCGCGGCGGAGAGAGAGAGTTTGGAGACCGAGAAGTGTAGAGTGAGAGTTTGGAGACTTCGAGGTCGAGAGAGAGAACTCTGACAAGAGAGTTTGGAGAGTCATGGCGGAGAGTGAGAGAGTGGAGACTTCGCGGGCAGAGCCAAAGTTCCGTGTGTGCAAAAGGAAATAACGGAACTGCACCGGACTTTGGACTCTGCCGTGAACTTTGGACCAGGAGGACAAGTGCCACATCTCAGCAACCGAGCGGCACACAGGCGTGCCACATGCAACATAAGAATCCGCGGGACGGCAGCAACGAGCAGAACTACAATTTAAGGCCGTGCGTGAAGGACAAGTGGGTCAAACAGGGACCACGGACTTTGGACCCGGAGTGGAGAGATGCCGCGGGCAGAGCGCACGAGGGACATAACGGTACCCGGAGGCCCTATATAAAGCCGCCGGGCGCTGGCAACTGGATCAGTCGATCACAAGGAATCAATCCGTCAAGATCAGTCAAGATAGCAAAGTGAATAAGTCAGTCAATCAGTGCCAAGTAATCTACAAGTGAAAACACAAGTCAAGTCGTCGGAAGCAGCGCCGTGGGAGCCTACAAGGAGCAAGATCGCTAC